GGGTCCTCTAGCCGAAGTTGATCATCAGCTACCGGCAACCTGGACTGCCTATCTCAGCATGCGTCAGGAGATCCGAGACCCACAGGTGCATATCAACTGCAGCAAGATCTGATAGAGCATCTATGGAGGCTGAAGGGCGACGCCAGGCGCGGCATGTGATGAAATATGAGTTTTTATTTGTTGAACTATATAATTTGTATTGAACTATTTGTTGTTGTACTATTTTGTTGAAGTATTTGATATTTTTGTGATGAAATATGTGATAAAAAATTTTATGTGCATAATTAAACGCCGAACCAGGGCGAACCATGCCGAATATGGGCCTATTGTCGCCCATATGGACCCTTTATTCGCCGAAATGGGGCTGAAAAGTAGACCAATTTCGACGCCTGGGGGCGAGCTAGGGGCGACGACTGGGCGCGAAACCGTCCCAGCGCCGATTGCATCGCCGGCTCACCCTCAGGGGGCACTTTTTATGCGTCCTGAGGGGTCAAACGGTTGGAGATGCTCTTAGAGGGGCGTGGCCGAACGGGCACATCAATGGTGAAACCCTCGGTATTAGAGATCAAGTCGACCCCTTTTTGTGATTCGGCCAGGGGCTAAACACTCCAAAAATCTAAGCACCATCGAAGCCCAAGATGTTCGCAGTTACCCAGGTTTAGGCCACCGGGAGGTGTAATAGCCTCCTCCTCCTTTATTTGTTATTGATGGATGATGATCTGATGTGTTACAAATTCAAAATGAGCCTTCTCGGTTAATCTGGGTGGTGTTCGGGAGGGCTCTAGGGCTATAGTGGGCCGCCTCGAGCACCCTTTTTTCACGGAAACTTTCAATATTTCATTTTCAATCATGGCAATACAGCAAACACAATAAATAATAAAACTTACATCTAAATTTGTAGACCATCTAGCGACGACTATAAGCACTGAAGTGAGCCAAAAGCGCACCGCTGTCATCGCCCTTTCCTTGCTGAAGCCGGGCACAACTTGTTATAGTAGACAGTCGGAAAGTCATCGTGCTAAGACCTTATAGGACCAACGCACTAAAATAGCAACCACTGCTGATGAAAAAAGAATTTACTAGATTGAAAGGTTCCAACGTGAAAATACAATGAAAACGAACAAAGATCAGATCTGAGTGGATCCACCGAAGACAACCACCCTCCTTCTCTTAATCTGGCTTTCTTGCGTGGATGGTTAGAACGATTGTCCTCATCCCATACAAGTAATGTGTCACATAAGTAAAAAAAATGATTTTTTTTTTACAAAAAATGACGGAGGAAGAAGAAGAAACAATAACAAAATGATTCCACAATAACGTCACCCGAATGAAAAGAAAATGAGACCACAGCTGTCCAGCCAACGGGTCGACGCCCGGTCCTCATAACGTCACCCAAACGAGACTTCAATTAATTTAGCACCTTGCGGCTTGCTCTCTCCCTCCCGTGTGCGTGCAGCGTTGCGTCATTCGCCCTCACCCCATCCCGCTTCTGCGCTGCTCGATTCAGTTCAAGACTCCAAGTAACCAACACCAGCACCAGCCACCGGGAAGAAGCAGGGAGCAGTGGGAAAGAAAGGACGCCGCAAGAGAAGGGGCTCTGTGGCCGCGCTGCTCGTGGCGGTAGAGATCCAGCGGGGGCGGCCGAATCGACAGCCATGATGAGGCACAGAGCTCGCTCTTCCCCCAGCTCCCCGCTCACCCCATCCACCAGCATGAGGTGACCTATCCATTTCCTCAGCTCTTCTTCTTCCGAGGTTTTCTTGGTCGGGTCTTGCGATGAATGTTCCCGGCAAATTTATATGTGTCGCTGGAAGTTCTCACTGGAGCTGCGGCCATGGCATCCTGGTGATGCCTGGACCAGGCTTTAGATTTTTTTTTATTTGCTACCTTGCTTTTCATTTTTTTAAAGCAATGCTTGAAAATGTGAGCTAATACTTAGAACGAGGAATCCGGAGTCCTTTTTGATACTTTATTTAGCAAAGACAAAATTCTAGGGAAATACTACTGTACCTTTTAGAACAAAAAAAAAGCGCAGAAAAAGAAGAAGAATGCCAAAGTCAACTAAAAGGTGCGCGTGTTGCTTCGATTTCAGATTCATGGATTGGTAATGTGTGTATTGCAATGGCGGTCTTAGGCCAAAAAGTAACTGCAGAATCATCACTCTAATTGGGAGAGACGATCGAACAAGAGCAGATTTGCACAAGTCAGCCTCCCTTGTTCTTTTGAAGCACATCACAAGGGGATCTCGGAGGTCGGAGCCTCTGCGTCATGGAGCCTGGCAGCATCCACATGGAGGACTCGTGCACCTGGCGTCGACATTTGGCGCAGGGCACTGACTTTTCGCTTCTACCCGTGGCGCAGTTTCGGATAAGAAAAAAAAATGTGTTAATGATGTGTCCAGCACTTTAGTTTGCCTTTTGAGTTGATGATATGCCCAGCATGTCAACTTGCCTGTGAGTTCAGGCCATCACGCTGGCATGTGGTGGATGTTGAGTGGATAGATACCCACATTCTTCTCATCAATGGACAAGATGGGAACAGTGTCTTCTGATTTCGATTGCTCCATTTTCCCCTTATCAAGGATTTGTCAATAGCAAGAATCTTGTGGCTCTAGCCATACGAAGACGTTGCATTCCTCAAGAAAGTTGTTATCTTTGTTCGATCTTTTCTTGTATGTAGGTCTGTTCTGTAGCCATCATGATCATTTCAGGTTGCTCGATTGGTTAGTGTCAGGGGTAAAATTTAGCTGACATGAGAGACTGTTCCCAACTTCCCATTAACCCCGTCTTTTTTTTTGCGAAAAGGATCAGATCTATTGTAAAAGTTCACCGGAAGTACAAAGCATCTCAAGCATAATAAAAATTACATCAAGATTCTGAGACCACCGAACAACCACTACTACCGCCAAAACAAGCTGCCAATGCTCCCATACCGGAGCTGGCCTGACCTTGTCGATGACAACAGAAAAGTCTTCTTGCACGTGCCCCTAAGGACCAGCGCCCTGGATCCGCAGTCGTCGCCATTGAACCGTTGCATAGATCTGAAGCACCTGACACCAAATCTTGCCACATGACTAGAAACCCTAACCTCACTGCCCCAAGGAGACGGCAGGAATCTAGGCTGGAGCTCCGTTGACTACGTCCAGACGGATGAACTCGAGGAGGATTAGAGCCCGGAAGACAAACTCGAAGAAGAAGCGTTGCCATCCGCCCAAGCGCCGCACCTGCGAGGACTAAAAAACCCTGACCTAAACCACTAACTGGAGCAGAGGCATCGGGATTCCCCTCCCAGCCCACTCTGAGTTAGCCTCTAGCGAAATTCATCCCGCCGTTGTTTATCGGAGCTTCGGTCGCCGGCTTCGCCGCTATCAGTTCACCAACTTCCTTGACCTTTCGGCACTAGGCAGGCATCAGCCCCCAGACATGGTATTACGACTTTGCGGAGACCTGTGTTTTTGGTGAACAGTCGCCCATGCCTGGTCACTGCGACCCCCTTTTGTGAGGGGGACACCGATTACGTGGAATTGCTAGTGTGGGTCAATCCATTTGACTCATTTTTATAATTTACATACCTTTGTACTCCCTCTACTTACTGTGTATTTATGTTAATGCACTTTCCTTCCCTAGCTACCTGTCCTCTCATAAGTGGACCTCTAAGCCGTCCCTAATTGTGGAAGATCCGAAGCGAATGAAATGTTTCTTTGCCGCCATCAGATAACGAGCCATGATATCTGTCATCTGCTAGGAAATCAACGATTTGATCTGGCAAGGCGCCTAGTAGTGTTATTATGTGGGTTGCTGGCCGGGAGGCTTGTCCTCCTTGTTGAAAATAAAGTGTGAGTTGCTGTCATAGCATTGTTGATGCAACAGTAAATGTAATAACAAATGGCCAGACTAACATGACTTTGTTAAAATTTATAATAGGGTGTAATTTTTTACTGTGCTAATTAGTTAACTCACGCTACTATTACCCAATTAACGGACTGGACACCCACCTAGCATGACCCAATTAATCGCCATCACTTACTATTACTTCTGCTATTTTTGTGAAAGAGTTAGAACAGATTTGTTGAGCCGTGTCTAAAATGAGTCAGAACATTGAGCAACATACTATTTATTTTTCATTTTTTTTATTTTTTTGAAAAGGAGGATGTACCCCCTGCCAACATACTATTTATTTGGACTAGTTTTCTCTACTAATTTATTTTCAAACTCATCTAGAGCAAGATCAAATCACCAAATTTCATGACAAGTGCTCCATTTGTGTCGGAGATCTCAAATTATAATGTTATGCCTACGTTTTACCTTTATGTGAAGGAATAGAAGCTTCTCGTCCTCTATCTTTGGTTCAAATGGAAAATGGCGAGGTTTGGTATGCAGTGTAGTTGATTTAAATGAAGTCTGAGAAAATTGAGGCGCACAAATGTTATATACAGAAAGAAATTTGAGTTGCACAATTATCTCAGAAGACTTCTTTTATTCCTCACATTCCATGATCCCAAAAAATTTGAGTTGTAATAAGGCACTACACAGTGAGGAAGTGCAATACTGTATTAGTTGAATGGAAGATGGTGACAAAAAGGATTTTTAATTACAATTGTCTTCGGCAACTGAGTGTAATAGTCTATACTTTATTGCTTACTGGCGTGAGTTGTATTTACTGAATGCATATTTCATGAAATTTAGTGGACCGTGTAGAGGGGAACTTACCGTGCATCGCTGCAAGATGTACAAATGGTCACAGTAACATGACTTTGTTAAGATTTATAAATCAGATGTATTTTTTTTAATGTGCTAATAAGTTAACTCACGCTATGCAAGGTATGAGTTGTATTTAACGAATGCAATAATATTTCGTGAAATTTACTGGACCGTGTAGAGGGGAACACACCATGCATAGCTGCATTCTATAGCATAACCGATTTACACATTTTTCCTTGCAGAGCGAAGAAGATATTTGGTTTCTCCGTATCTCTCATCCTCATCAATCTGGCTTCTATCATGGAGCGTGCTGATGAGAATCTTCTCCCAGCAGTTTACAAGGAAGTCAGTGTAGCCTTCAACGTTGGTCCCACCGATCTGGGATACCTTAATTTCCTAATGAACTTTCTGAAGTCGATAGCATCCCCCTTGGCAGGCATCCTTGCTCTTCACTATGATCGGCCAGCGGTGCTTGCAATAGGAACTGTCTTCTGGGCCTTATCAACAGGGGCTGTTGGTGTCAGCCAGCATTTTGGGCAGCTTGCATTCTGGAGAGCTGTGAACGGCCTTGGACTTGCCATTGTAATACCGGCGCTTCAATCGTTCATAGCAGATAGCTACAAAGACGGCACGCGTGGTGCTGGGTTTGGTCTGTTAAGTCTCATCGGTGCAGTAGGAGGCATAGGTGGTAGTGTTGTGGCCACACTCATGGCTGGGAAGGACTACTGGGGGTTGCCTGGGTGGCGTCTTGCGTTTATTATGGTTGCACTTCTTAGCTTGATAATTGGCATTCTTGTGTACCTGTATTCCACTGATCCGAGAAGAATCCCTGGCAATCATCTTCTAGATGACGACGACTATGAGAGGTATTCCTCTTCTTTGTGCTTTTTCATTTTTGTGCTTGTTTATCTTATCTTATCTTGTGAGGCTTCGTTAATCAGAACTACTACTCCCTCATTTAACCTTTTAGTACAAAGTTAGTACAACTTTGTACTAAAGCTGCGACAATTAATATGGATTGGAGGGAGTATATGAATCTTGTTAAAACGAGTTTAAAGAACAATCAACATTATTTATTTATTCAAGTGACAAAAAAAACGTATGCTTTTTTTGTGCTGTGGTTAATTTTGACGGGGCTGATTCTAAAGATGCATATCTCTTGTTTCATTACTATGTCCCTTTCAGTTTGATTCTGCAGATAAAAAACCAAAAAAACGCCATGGTTAGTGAAGCTTGTTAACTTGAAAGACAGTATAGATTTCTTCATGCTCTAACTGAAATGTGTACTAGTAATTTGAGCCAAAACTAGCAAAGAGAGGTGGGACGGTGATGAATGAACATAAACATTGATATCCTATTTTCCCAGGTTACATTTGTCCAACAAAGATGTTCTTCCTCCGCCCTCTATCTGGATGGATTCTTGGGTAGCAACGAGAAGTGTCATGAAAGTGAAGACATTTCAGATCATTGTGCTGCAAGGGATAATTGGCTCATTGCCCTGGACGGCCATAGTTTTCTTCACCATGTGGTTCGAACTCATCGGTAGGGCGAAAAAATCCGATAAACCCCTACCAAATTAAACTTCTAGTAGCAGCTCTCCACAAGAAACCTGAATATTGACGGTGTTAACCCCTCCTAGGTTTTGACAACAGGAGCTCCGCAGCACTGAACAGCCTATTCGCCATCGGGTGTGCCAGTGGAGCTTTCCTCGGCGGCGTGCTAGCGGACCGGCTGTCGCGGCGCTACCCCGATTCCGCGCGCATCATGTGCGCCCAGTTCAGCGCCTTCATGGGCATCCCGTTCTCGTGGATCCTCCTCACGGTCATCCCACAATCCACCGACTACTGGCTCGCCTACGCCGTCACGCTCTTCTTCATGGGCATCACCATCAGCTGGTGCGCCACCTCGGCGAACAACCCCATGTTCGCCGAGGTAGTCCCTCCCAAGCACCGCACCATGATCTACGCCTTCGACCGCGCATTCGAGGGCTCGTTCGCTTCACTGGCCGCCCCTGCTGTTGGCTTGGTCACCGAGAGGATATACGGCTACGACGCCAAGACTGTGAACATCGCCAACGGGTCGGCGGAAGGAGCGTATGCGTTGTCAAGGGGACTGCTCACCATGATGATCGTTCCTTTTGGTGTCTGTGTCCTGTTCTACAGCCCTTTATACCTTGTGTTCAAGCGCGACAGAGACAATACCAAGGTCCCCAGCTTCAAGAACCAGGAGCTAACCTGAAGAGATAGCGTGCTGCCTCCCGAGATTCCCCGACTGCCGGGGGAATATTCAGGCTTCTTTAGGCTGACAGATCAGAAAGGTTGGGTTCGTTCTTCAGGTTGGTAGATAGATTCGGACTGCTTGCGATGAGCCACTCGTTTTCTTCTCTTCTTTGCGGGGAAGCCACTCGTTTTCAATGGCGATATATTCATCTGTAGAAGAATATGCCAAAATATTCTTCAGATTCAACCCATGCTGATGTTTTTCTAGTAGCTGCATTACCTGGCCAGCTAGTTTGTACGTAACAGATTCAGTTTGAGATGGAAAACAATTGATTACATTGGACAATTTGAGGCGGTTGATTTTTGATTGATTGCTCTGGAAAACATTCCTACCTCTCTAATGCTTCATGCTTATGCTTAGTTTGCAGCATACGATACTGTGGTAGTTCAAGGAAATGACCTAGTCCCGCTTGGAACATGGGGACTCTTGGATTTCCTATGTCTGAAGGGTGTGTCTATGTCTTTGTCAAGTGACATAACATGTAAGAAAAAAAGGATAACTGAAAAAAAATTGACACAGATCTCAATGCAAGGTTTCACTAATATAGCATCGACTGAGACATGACTAAACATTCGCGGCACGTAATATAGCATCGACTGAGACATGACTAAACATTCGCGGCACGTCCGCGAACAGTGGCCGGTCAATCCTTAAATCTCCTCTTCCACAACCGGGGTACTTCATTACTGAATTATCAAATCCATACAATTACATGCAATGTAAACCTAGTCTAAATCTTTGCCGGCGCTCGTTCGCCTTCAAGTCCTTATCCGAACTTTTTATTAATAATAAATAAGAATTCTCTAATTACGAAAGTGGTAAATGGCCAGTGGAAATTGTCAAAATAGTAAGGACGCTATTAAGAGCAGCGTCCAATCTTGGACGCCATTGCTAAGTGCGTGATGTCCAGCTATATGGTTTGACTTATTAGGCTCAGCTATAACACCCTCGATGCGGCTATATCTCCCACGTGTAGAGGCACGACTTAGAGGCATAATCGCATTGAAGGCATATGTCGCAAGTTAGGCAATCTTCACAACATCCCATGTAGTATGAATAATAAAGGGGAGATAACATAGTTGGCTTACACTCGCCACGTCAATCAAGTACATAAATAACATTACATCATCCAAACACTCATGACCCGACTACGGCGCCAAAATAAAAGAGAACCCAACATGCGACAACGGTCCCGTTCACTCCCAACTGGGCACCACTACTGATCATCGGGAAAGGAAACATAGTAACGTTGAGAGTCTTCGTCGAACTCCCACTTGAGCTCATACGCGTCTCCTGGAGCGGAATCATCAGGCCTTGTATCTGGTGTAATAGTAATCTGTGAGCCACAGAGACTCAGCAATCTCGCACCCTCGCGATCAAGACTATTTAAGCTTATAGGTAAGGCAAGGTAAAAATATATGTGGAGCTGCAGCAAGCGACTAGCAAGTATGGTGGCTAACTTATTCGCAAAAGAGAGCGAGAAGAGGAGGCAAAGCGCGAGCGAGAAACTAGAGAGCAACCTGCGCAAACATTACACCAACACCATGTCCACTTCCCGGACTCCGCCGAAAAGAGGCCATCACGGTAACACACTCAATTGATTCATTTTAAATTAAATTAAGGTTAAAGTTATCTACAACCGGATATTAACAAATTCCCATCTGCCCATAACTGCGGGCATGGCTTTTGAAAGTTCAATCCCTGCAGGGGAGTCCCAACTTAGCCCATGACAAGCTCTCACGGTCAACGAAGGAATAGACCTCCTCCCAAGACGTTTCGATCAGACTCGGTATCTCGGTAATTCAAGACACTTCGACAGGTTAAAACAAGACCAGCAACACCGCCCGAATGTGCCGACAAATCCCGATAGGAGCTGCACATATCTCTTTCTCAGGGCACACTCAGATTGTCCTAGGTACGGGTAGGCCAGCCCAGAGTTGCCCCTAGTGGCCATCGGTAGCTGACAGGTAGACCAACACTCAGAGGAGCACTGGCCCGGGGGGGTTAAAATAATGATGACCCTTGAGTCTGCAGAACCCAAGGGAAAGAAAAGGCTAGGTGGCAAATGGTAAAACCAAGGTTGGGCATTGCTGGAAAAGCTTTAATCAAGGCGAACTATCAAGGGGTTCCCATTATAACCCAACCGCGTAAAGAACGCAAAATCCGAGAACATAACACCGATATGACGGAAACTAGGGCGGCAAGAGTGGAACAAAACACTAGGCGAGAGGCCGAGCCTTCCACCCTTTACCAAGTATATTTATGCATTAAGATAACAAGATAATATAATGATATCTCAACAAGTAAATAATTGTCCCAACAAGGAACGCCTTCAATCTTCACCTGCAACTAGCAACGCTATAAGAGGGGCTGAGCAAAGCGGTAACATAGCCAATCAACGGTTTGCTAGGACAATGGTGGGTTAGAGGTTTGACATGGCAATTTGGGAGGCTTGAAAGCAAGTGGTAGGCATCGTAGCAATGGCATAGCAAAAGAGCGAGCAAACTAGCATAGCAAAGATAGTAGTGATTTCGAGGGTATGATCATCTTGCCTGCACAGTTGTCAGAGTTGACTGGATCCTCGAAAGCAAACTCAACGGGCTCCTCGTTAGCGAACTCGTCTCACGGCTCTACCCAAACAAGACAAACAAGCAACAAGGATACAATCAACCACGTGCAACTCAAACAACACAATGCAAAGATGATATGCTATGTGCGATGCGATGCGGGATGCAAAATGCAAGATATGACAGGAAATGCATGAACCTGGCCTCAACTTGGAAAACCAAGTGTGCCATTGAAAAGATGAGATGAAATCGCTTGAAAACGATATAAAGAACGCCGGAATCGGAGTTACGGTTTGGAAATGGCAAGCGATTCAAAAATGACACCGCTCTGCGGTTTACAGCAAGTAGCCATCTAATGCGATGAGATGAACATGCTACAGCACCCAAACATGATAACAAAATACATGGCAGGGATGAACACAAGATGCTTAACAAAAATCTAGCACTGAGCTACGGCCAATTCATCCATTAACAGGTTCAAACAAGCATGGAAAAAATGCATATGGCAAATAGATCTCAGACTTAGTGAAATTAACACTTGTCTGGAATTTCAGATCAGGTAGCCCTCTTCGGAGCAACAAAACTATATGCTACAGGATCTGAACATGGCAAAGTAAAGCATGGCATGGAGCTACTGAAAGAGCTTAACAAAAGTCCCTTAGTGACCTTGAGCCAAAAGGGATCAGAAAATACAATTGCAAGCACGTGAACATAGCAAAAACATAATCAGTTTTCAGACTTAGTGAAAACTGACACATGCTGAAATATAACTCAAGTAGGCATGTTAACGAGCTCGATGCACTCACTACGGTGCAAGTCATGGCAAGACAAGCATACACCCATCAAGAAGGCACAAAATTCAATCTAGACATGGCAAGAAAAATAGCATAGCATGCATGGATCAACTACAACATCATCGGCAAAATTGCAAACAAGTTGACAATCTGCCCAGATTCACAAAGTAGCAAAAGTAGAGCTCGATTGACTCAAGCTAGGGTGCTCCATAATTGCAAACAAAGACATGGATGGATAGAGCACTAAAATATTAACAAAACATCCTTACTGATCATCCTCAAAAGAGGCACGGATCACTAGGAAACAACATGAACATATGGCATCATGAGATAAACAGATCCAGGACTTAGTGAAATTACTAAGTCCCTGAAAACAGAATTAGCAAGTGCACCACTTTGCAAGCTTGCCCAAGTCAGCACACACATCACAAAATACATGGGTTGCACCTCTGGAAAGATGACAAAGCCTTTAACAAAACATATGTAGAACTCACGGGCATAACATGCACACATTAATCATGGCAAAAATGACAAAAACCTAAATGGAGTAGCAGATCTGACAATTATCTCAAGTAGCCCTCTTCTAACAGCATTTCGGGCATCAAGATGAACTCAAATGAAAATTATGCAATGGAATGAAATGATGTACTCTCTAAGATGAACATTTTGATATGTTATATGCATGAATCAGAGCTAAGGATGCAAAGTTACGGAGCTATGAACATGAGCACTTGGACTGAAAATATCAGGGACTTAGAAAAAAATAACCCTCAGATCTAGGGTTTGACCGGCGCGCGAACCGAGGCGGCGGCGGGCACTGTTCACGGCCGGCGGATCCGAGGTCGCCGGCGGCCGGCGAGGGCGAGGCGAGGCCGGGGAGGTCGCCGGGGCGGCGGCCAGAGCGCGGCGACGCGGCACGGTGGCGGCGGCGGATGGCACCTCGGGGAGGCGGCGGCGGTGGCTCGCGGAGGCGGCGGCGGCGGCTCACGCCAGCGGCTGCAGCTCGGAGGAGAGGGAGGAAGCGCGGCGCAGCGTGGGCCGGGAGGCGGCCTGGCTCGGTGGCGGCGGCGGATGGCGGCTCGGGCCGCGGGGGCCGGCCACGGGCCGAGCGGGCCCGCGCGGTGGGCGGCGGCGGGAGGCCACATGGCGGCTCCTGGGTGGTTGGGCGCGGCGGCGCGGGCGTGTCCGACGGGTACGGACACGTCCGATGGCGGAGGGGCGATTTTTTTTGGGTTTCGGGGAGGAAGGAGATCCGAAAATGGAGGGGGTCTATTTATAGGCATAGAGGGAGCTAGGAGAGTCCAAATGAGGTGTGGTTTTAGGCCACGTGATCGTGATCGAACGCTCTAGATGATGGAGCAGAGTTAGGTGGGTTTTGGGCCAAATTGGAGGGGTGTTGGGCTGCAACACACACGAGGCCTTTTCGGTCCCTCGGTTAACCATTGGAGTATCAAACGAAGTCCAAATGGTACGAAACTTGACAGGCGGTCTACCGGTAGTAAACCAAGGCCGCTTGGCAAGTCTCGGTCCAATCCGGAAATGTTTAATCCCCACACACGAAAGAAAGCTAGAAATGACCACCAGAGGAGAACGAAGCGCCGGAATGCAAAACGAACAACGGGAAAAATGCTCGAATGCATGAGACGAACACGTATGCAAATGCAATGCACATGATGACATGATATGAGATGCATGACAACGACAACAACACACGGAGACAAAGACCCGAACCCGAGAAAATAAATTAACTTAACGCCGGAAATGGCAAGAGTTGGAGTACAAATTGGGAAAGTTACATCTGGGGTGTTACACCAGGAAGGCGGTCAACCACCTCTACGAGAACAAGGCCCAGCTCAACTCCATCTCCATGCACCTCGGCAAGATCGTCGGTAATGGACACCACCTGCATCGTATCTATCTTTCTAGATAGCATTCAGTATGGTAACATTTAGTAATTTACAGTTGTTGTTCATGATGCTATTACAAACTCTGAAATCTAGTACTTTAGTCAAATGTGCTTCCTTTTTGAACAACTGTGCACCTTGGCGAGCTCGTCGGTAGCAAACAGTTTCTACTGGCCTCGTATCATTCTATACTAGTATGGATAGATAGCATCCAAGTTTGTTGTCTACTGACCTTTGCTAGTGTCTTGAAATGCTTGGGAATGGCCCGTCCGTCTGGACATGCAGTTAGTCTGAATGTG